TATATCAATTCATGTGAATATGACTGAAAAATGTAATTTTTTCTGAAAAGGTGGTGTCTATTTACTTGTGTCCACTCAGTGTACCATACCAATCATTCATAGTTAAATAAACCAAAATGTTTAACACAAAATTTTATTTTGAAATACGCAACAATATAGTATTATTCATAAAACTTAATCCAATGTTTAGCACATTAAAGGCCAAAAAATAAAGTGTACAAATTTGAACCACTGATGTACGATTTAATTGAGATAAATCAGCACGAAAATATTAACTAATAAAATTTAAGCATAAAAATGGTCACAAGGTTCAAAATTACTTAATGAAAAATCCTTTCTACCACAGATTTAACTTTAACCATAACCCATAAATATAGAAGTTCCACTGAGGATCAGAGAATAAACAAGAACGAATCCTCAATAGCCGCGGCACTTGAAATTCTTTTAGGCAGGATTAGAGTAAAATAATGTACGAGAACTTTTATTTTCCCCCTTTTTATTATCTATATTTTTGTGTGCCAGTAATACCAAGCGTGGGGCGTGCGTATACCCGATTCGATTTTATTACTCATCAGGATCTTACAAGCTTACCCTCAAACTGAAATTATTTCAGGTAGATTTGTTTGAATTTATGCACAAAGCTACACAATGGGCTATCTGTGCTCTGCCCACCACGAGTATCGAAACCCGGTTTCTAGCGTTGTGAGTCCGCAGACATACCGCTGTGCCACTTGGGAGCTTTTCAGGTAGGTTTGGGGTAATTTGATCCACGAGACCTTGGGCGTGGTCAAATACATCAAACAAAAGGGTTTGACCTTCCGAGTCCAAAACTGTAATCAGATCTCAAATTGGTTAAGAGATGATGGAACTATGAGCTAAACATTTAAACTTGAAAAAAGAAACAACAACTCAGAACCGTTCTATGAGCCGCTATGTCACGGTTAAAAAGGAACGCCACAAGATGGGCATAAGGCTATGTATTTTTTCACTAATGACGAGCAGAAAGCCAGATTTATTAACAGTGACGTTTAAATTATAAATAGCAGAGAATAAGGATGATATACAATTACTTTTCCACCCGTAAAGCTAATCGAATCAGAATATTACCAACGTGCAGATTATAAAAAATATCCTCAATACAAATATCAAAGAATTAGATAGCTTTCATACTGAAAACAAAAATCAATATATAAAATTAATAGGTGTTCTAATATAGATTTCATTGGTCTCACATTTCAATATTAGAGGAATACAAAACAATCTTGTCAGCCACCATCACTATCAGCAAAATATTTTTATTTCCTTTGAGAGAATGCCGTGATCTAATTCATATTAATTTATCGCAGATGTTTATAATGCCCTTATAATTTTCTCTAGTTTTAAAATACTAGAATACTTGCCAATCATAGTATTACCTTATCAGTTTGTCATTGTTTTAGAAAACATCTTTTATTACAACAATATAAAAATCGTTTAATAAAAATACCATATTTCAGGCTGTTACTTGCATGTGCTTTTTTATACGGAATTATATAATGATTACCAAAAGCTTATTACCTATTGAAATTGTTACCTTCTAAATCGTGATTGATTAAAATGTAAGAACAATAATTATATAAGTTCATGTAATTTATGTTGTTTATTCCATACATGCATATGCTAGACTTGTAATCACATACAAAGGTAAAATTAAGCCTTTCATTCGTTAATTTGTACTACATACGCACCTGTTAATAAGTAAAATGATAAACTTTACCGAAATTTGAAGCTCACGAGTCCGTATTATCAGGTCAAAACTTGATTAGCACGATCGAACGTTCTCTTACCTCGACTGACTGACGTACTTCGTGTAGTTTAATATGGTTATTGGAGTAGCCAAGGTTAGCAACGGTATCATCATAAATATAAAATTATCATATATACTAATACCGCAATGTTATGACAGCCAATGGGACACTGGACATAAATTCTGACCATGACGAAAAATGAGGAAGTACGATGTCACATGACCGGAAAAATGCAATGATCCTGGACTAATTCTACCAAGCACAGTTGCTTACTTCATAACCACGTGTACATGGTACGATGGTTAGATCTGCGCGATAGATTGCCAGAGCAACAGCGAGTGTATAATAACACAAAACAGTCGGGTACTTTAATACCCGATACGCACCAGAAGACAACTACTAAATATAAAGGATGTTAACTATATATGTACGTGGGTGATCGATGTTGCTTACTTACTGAATCATTATACACTACCCCTCTTACAGATTTCTTTACAATTGAATACCTTGTTCTTTTCTTCTTTAGTTGATGTAGATATTCATTTACGACTCCTCTCCTGTTGGTTTTTCCGCCTCTTCAATTACGCCCATAAGACCATGCAACCCAAACTTTGAACAGGTTTTCGGAACGTTTGAAGGTAGAAATTGGTTTAATGTGTTTCTGTTGGCATGTTTTGATATACATATTTCATGGGGAGGGGGGAGTTACACAACTTCTGTTTCATATAACTATTTATCTGTAATAATATAGGGTGAAAACACAGAAACGGAGCTGTTCACGGGAATAACAATGTAATCGAAAAATACAAAATGAATATATATATATAATAAAACTGGTGATGGTGATGTTTACCGTATGTATTCTACAATGTAGAAAACAATTTAATATATTCAACAACTTGTCCTAATGTGGCATGCACCGATATGCATTAAAATACGTTCAATGTAAGCCAGTTTGTTGAAGTTAGTTTCAAGTTCAGCAACTTTGATGCACTTATGAATCTGTCATAATGTGACCTTGATAGATAGCATTCATCCTACTCTAGATAAGTTTTTATTCATTATTCTTGCAACCACTATCACAACTAAGCTAAAAATGCACAAATATTTTACAAAAGAAGAGTTTTGTAATCAAGGGGGGGGGGGGAGACACAGGTGCCATAATTATTATCCATCATAGTTAAATTTTACAATTTAATCACAAACGTTCGGTATATTAAGTACAAAGACGGGATACTCTTTTTCTTTTTTTCAGAGCGTCACGCAAAGCTAGACAAGAACCTGTACATAGCCGTTTCTAATTTTGAAACAATAGATTAGAGCTAGTCAACAGTAATTACTTTTATCTGACCGTATAGTGGAATTTAAAAGTCATTCTTATAACACATCTATCACCACAATGTGTGAAGTGCATTCTTGAACAACAGGTCGTGAACATTACAGTCTCAGCACGCTGATCACCGGCCACACTCGGTATTTTTTTAATATTCTGCTTAGATTAGCTAATGGTATGAGAGGTACGGTCTTGAAAAAAAGAAACACGATTATTTTAATGGATATAACTACAAAGTTTAGTGATGGGAGGAAAGGTCTTAACTAAACGAAATACAATATTAATACAAAGTTGCAATGACACGTATTCTACTGATAATATTTATATTTTTGTAAACGTAAAAATCAACATTTCACTACAAGAATATTTCTGTGATAGTATCTGATTTTATCTCAGAATGGCCCTTGAGTGTAAAACTAAGGTTCAACTTTTTCAGAAATAAAATGGTTATGTAAAACCAGAGTCCATTGAATTTTGTGTTTAAAATACCACAGTTTGAGTTGGTCTATAAATCTACAATTACAGATTAGTTAATTATGAAAAGTTAATATCATCACGAAATTAGCTGGGGTTTTAAGTTGGTTTAACCAAACAAAATATTATCTTCTGAGAAAACCCGAAAAAATGTTTTTTTAAGTTCACTTAAAACATACCTCTTTTGTGCATTTTTTCGAAATAATGTTTTTGTGCTTGGTCTGTGGCCTCCCTCAAATTGAACAGCTACTTCATAAAGACAAATCCAAGTTTTAAATTCCTACTAAAATAACTATTCTTCTGTGAATTCTTTGAAAGATTGAACTATTAAGTTTTTTTTAACAAATGCTTAATAACTTGTAAACTTTCTCCCCTGTGAACAAATTCCATTGTTTAAGAATCATTTAGTGCTGCGAATCACCAAAACTTTATTGCCAATTAAAATATTCATAAGAATAAACAAGAAATAATTACAACAGGTTCAAAGTTACTCTGAAAAAAACATTTCATAAAACACCATACAGAACTTAGGCTTTTATATCGATCCAGTCACTATGATTAATAGTTCACCACTTTTTTAAAAAAAATTCATTATATTCAAAAGTCCATTCCTGATGATGGTATTTACTTAATCTTCAAAAACAATTTATTCCTTCGCATTCTATACAGGTCAATGCATTGTAGAACACTAATTCATTAAAAGAATGATTAAATTATAATTATTAAAGATCTATTTACAGTATTGAAGTTGTGATTCAACATACTTATCACTGTATTTTTGTCTAAAGCAAATTTCTTCTGGATAACAATACTTGCAAATAGTAATTATATTGTTGGCATATAAGTATCAAAGTTCACAAATTGACCACAAATTGGTTCCACCATGCTTGGAAATAATTTCCATTGCTAAAAATAGTTTTAAAGCACTTATAAAGAAAACTATGGTAATAAGCTAAACGAATATCATAATAAAAAACAAGGAACTTGTGTTTTTAATTTAAACTTCCATCAGATTTAGAAATTCCTATTTTTCTACATTTTGAAACTTAACTATTAAATATACTGATAAATTTATTATAAAATACAACAGATAAAAGGTTTTTGTTTATGTGCACATGCATACAGAGCAAAATCATCATCATAAGAAAAATAAACCTTTACCAAAAAAATGAATATTTTAGTTCACAGGCTAATTAAGAAAACAAAAACCACACACCAAAACTGATAAAGTAAAAGTACTATGTGAATGAGGACACTTTAACCATGAAGTCCAGAACAAATACACAAGACTGGAGACACATACTCTCCAGTGTAGAATATTTTTTGTTCTTTAAACCATAAAAAAAAAAACTTATTGTAGCTTTTTAGTGGCAAATTAAAGTGTTTTCATCAATGGTTGTTATCATTTTTTGGTTGGATCCAAAAGACAAGTGATTGAGACTTCATGTGTAAATTGTTTAAAAACAAAAATTGTCTTTGTTTTTCAAAGAACAAGAGAGTTGTTATGCTAAATCTATCTTTTTCCAAAATTCTAATACTCGTCTCAACAAACACTTACACTGCCTTTCCTTATGTTCTTAAACATACATTCATCATGACTTTCAATTTTTTATAAATTTAAACCCCATTACTGGTGGAATAAAAAAATCACAGCATAACTTAAGATGGAAACAAAATATATATTTTCATAAAAACAAACATTTACAGCATGCAATTTCCTTATTATTGAAGAGATAAACTAACACAGTGTGAGTAAGGTAAAAAAAAGTATAATAATTTTCTCCATATCCTCGAAGCACTTTGGGGATTCTTAAGTCTTAATCACGACACTTCAAGTACATTAAGTATACACTTTCTTTGCCTACACATGAAAAAACTTACTGCAATTACTTTCATTTAAAGTAAACCAAATATTCAAAAGATATACTAAAACAGAGTAGGCGATACAATTTTTCATTTTAGTTTTTCCCTAAACAAATGTTTTATATTTTTTCTTTCCTTAAAAGTTATATAGCATGATTAACATACTTTATTTTCTTTATTATATAAACAATAAATCTGTACAAATATTACCTTAACACTGTGCTGATCAATTAGGTCCATACACCAATCAATCACCAATATTACAAAATGTTGATAAAAACGTTATATACAACTTTGAATATTGACATTTGAAAGACCAATGATTGCAATGAATTGAAAACTACTTAATTTTGAAATTACCTCACCCAAATTTTATTTTGGTTAAGCCAATTTTTTATAGTTTGTTATATCTCCACAGAGAAATAATAATGGTTTTGTTTAAATAATAACAGACATATTAACAACAGTATAGCTTACACATAAAAGAAAATTTTTGTAGGTTAAGTTCTGAAAAAATGAAAACATGACAAAAGCTACTAAGAAATCTTTTTTTTTATTGGGATCACACATAAACTACTAACCAAAAAAAATACTTTAACCATGTTTCCTTTCCCCTTTCTTTGTCTGTAAACTAGTACACATTGTTAATTATACCATATTAGAAACCCTACATCATTTATATATATAATACTTGGAGATTCTGATATCTTAGACTCCAAACACGTACATCATATATTAGAAGGCATAATTAGGCAAGTACAAACATTTTAAACTAAAATGAGAGATTAGTCTAGTATTTTATACATAACTAAAGTCCATAATTTAGATATATTCCATTTCAATATTCAAATTTACATACAGCAATTTTCTGTGGTAAGTAAAAACAATAACAAAAGCAGTGGATATTTTTTAACTTACAAAAGCAAAAACTGGCTCATAAACCAGCTCACGAATAATTTCTACTACATTTATTTTTAACTTTAAGGTCTAATTCCATACAAATTCAGCAATTAAAATAGTGATTAGTGATGTTACGGTTACATTGTGCACCATGAAAAGTATGGACGTGCGATACTTTAGTGTAGTACCAGAATAATTCTTTTTTCCAATATGAGGATAAAGTATGATGGTTGCATATATACATTCAACAATGATTACTGTAATACATCAACATGAGTATGAGTTGCAGCTTATCCCCCACAGCGACTCACAAACACTTTACAGCACATCTGAACAAGCAGTTGTGTGTGTAATTTTTTTTATGAGCATACATAATTTTTCCATGCAATAATTCAATCAATTCTTAACAGCAGCAAATTATTAAAACAATCAGGTTATTGATTTAGTGGGAAAAAGTTACTCTAGATGTGTTTGGCTGTTCATCAGAGAAGGAAACAGTCACTTCGAGTTTGTATAACTTCCTAAAATATTTCCATTTCATTATTCTCTTAAATATAAGTACAATGAAAAAAGTTCATATTATTATTATTTGTTTGATGCTATCTTTGACAAAAATACATTTCAAATTATTCCAAGGTTCATGCTACACAATTTAAATGGTTAAAAGAATATTGTTAGTATATGTCTGCAGTAACATGCTACACAATTTAAATGGTTAAAATAATAATCATGTTCAATCCTACAATTTTGGCTAAATTCAAAATAAATATGCTAACTCATTCAAATCAAAAGTATATTTTTAATACTAGTCACCTCCCTTTGTTCTTAACAGGTGCTTAACAAAATAAAATGTCACAGTGAAATATGTTGTAATCAACATGGTTTAACAATGTGTAAACTATATAGCTAGTATGTATAAATTGTATGTTTAATCGGCAAACAGATGATCAAGTAGAAATGATGAAGTTGTCATTTGACAGTAATATTTTAAATTATTCCCACAAGTAATGCTAAACGATGATTCAAACTCATACAAGACTGAACAATTTTAATAGAATATACTCAACAGATTTAAGCCTATCAGATAATTTTAAACATTATTCCACATGTGCTTTAGCAGAAAGAATTTATAACACTTATTGAGGCCAACTATATAGTGTCATAGAAGCTCTCATAAATAAAATCAGCAGTAACTCAATAGCATACCAATGTGCTTCTTAGGATCATATTTAACACTTCTATACAAATTAGTGGTCACTTCACTTAAGTCTCGAAATGCTTTCCTTAAGCTACAAACAACATACATTCTTTTTTAATCCTCCTGATAAACTAAGAGGTAATTTTGCTCATTGTGACTCATGTCTTTCATTAGTATTCTATTTAACCACCAGCAACTCAGTAAAAACAATCAATGGATGGCAGTAGTGAAACCATCTTCAAGCTAATTTTTCTAAATTTCCTAAAGCATGGACTCCTGACTGAAATTCCATATGTCAATGTTTTAAGCTATAAAAGTTTTCATAAATTCATGTTACTCACCATTATTTCCTCATGGTTCGAAATTTGATTGGTAAAATTTGAGTAAAAATAAAGTATAGATGCTATAAAAAACTTTTCTAACTGTACTTTTGAACTTGTGTGTACATATTTGTATATTTCTCTGTATAAATTTCAACTCTCAAGTTGTAAAACAATTAACTTTTTATATGGAATATCTATTCATAAAAATGTCCAGAAATGTAAACAAAGAATATATTAAGATTTTTGTTGTTTGATGACACCTTCTTTACTTAGAAATGGCTCATTTTACACAATATCTCATCTGAAATCAGCCATATTATCAACTGAAACACTCCCTATGCTTCTTCTTTAATTGTGTATATGATACTGTGGTTACTGAATCAGTAAAAATTGTTGAACCAACTTGTGATACTTGTCCTGGTTGAGGAGATGGAGGTGGGGGTGGAGGAGGTGTTTGGGAGGTAGGCAACATCTGTACAAAACAGGGCTGAAAACCTTGGTTCTGGCTATCTGAACTTGTGCATGGTGCCCCTGAAACTTGACTAATCCTTAAACTCTGCCAGTTGTCATGCAACAAGACACTGTCTTCTATATAAGTCCCTGTAACATAGTTACAGCTCACTGGAATTGAATCTAGATAAGTGAGACAGACATACACACTAATAAAAGATGTAATTAACCAAACCCTATTAATTAACTTAGCCCTTTTTACACAATCTAGCTTCTAAAAATGTTCTACCTACTAAATAAGTACAGTAAATATAGAAAAGAGAATTCATCAATAAAATAATAATGATTTAAGAAAATACATAATTCTAACTCAACAGTTTATAATATCAAAATTAACTAAGAAGCTCAACAAACACAACAGTTTACCTAAACAGAAATCTATACAAATGCATCTGTGGCCACAGCTTTAAGCATTTCTAAATCAATTAGCTTCAAGTTGATACTAAACTCTTTCAATACATTTCAACATCATTCTCAATGTACCAAATTAACACTCCAAACTTGGTAGAAAACCCCTAAGAGTGAATATTACTTTAAAATGCTTTCTATATCATAATGACATTTACTCATAGCTAAAATTTCCAATATGGTCAATTTCTTGGATTTCTAAACTGTAACTTACTAAATTAGCTTTTAAAAGTATTAAATTCAACTTTTTATGCTGAAATACCACAAACACAAGATTACTTCTGATGTATTAGGATATGAATGATTACTAATATTAATTTTTAATGGAGTTTAAAAATAATTCAAAAATAAAAACAAGAGTTTTAAATTCCTTTCAGTAGCGACACTGTCCATTTGCCTTGGAAATTCAAATTCACAACATTTGCAGATGACCTGAGAATCAGAAGCTCAAATATAAATTAGACAATAATGTTTTTTGCTACAGTAGAGACTTTTGTTTCTAGAATTTTGAAAACATACCACTATCAGGGAAGTTACTGTTTAAGAAATGTAGAGATGGATCAACAGGTGGTGTTCTCCTTTGCCTTTTGATATCCACCATGGCTGTTCGACTGACTGCAGGGTCAACACAAACAGCCTGCGTTGTATGTCTAGGTAAAAAAAAAAAGTGAAATGGCTTGATACAGATCTCCCTACAAAGTAGTAGTAGTACAATGTAAATAACTTCTGACTGTAAAATTAATCCTCCTTCACTTCTATATTTAACTTAAAAACAAAGCACTAAATACATTTTGTAACTAATAATGCATTTACTCTCACACTAACCTGACTTAATAACTATCTACAGTAGTATTATGGCTTAAAAAAAAACGTGCTTTTACTTATTCTTTGATAGATTGTTTAGGTAGAGTATTCATGATGAAACTTAGCCGAATGGACAGCAACTACAATAGGCAGTTGCCATCCATTTAACGAAGTTTCATGCTTTTACTTGTTCACAATTTTGTTTCAAAACCCATAATTTGGCATCTTAAAAAACACATGATACCTAAATAATACTAGAGTACAAAATACAATGTGGGAATAATAAATCATACTCTGGTATTAAAAAAAAAGAGCCTAAGTTGAGAACAGTTGTTTTGTCATATACTATTTTTTTTAGGTGTCAAAATTAAGAACTGAAGCCTGTTGTTTCTGGGTTGAAAATGAGCATTTGCTCGAAATGTTACCAGGTAATTAAATTACTACCATAGTTTTTAAAGGTGAATTTTCTCTACAAGTCTAATTTTTATATACATATTATATATATACATCCTTCCCAATTAAATCACCAGCTCTTAGCACAATTCATAAAATGTATTTCAAAAATAGTATTTTTATAAACAATTATCCCCACTAGATACTTAGTATTATAAAGTACAGCTACTTCTCTAAAGTTATAAATTTACCTAGTTTTAAGAAGCAAAGTACTTTCTCCCTCCACTGAACCTTCCTGTCTAATGTCCAAGGAATACAGTGCTGCTAACTGATTCAGCTGAAATACACAAGTCACAAAAATCCATATTTACTCAACTGTTCAATAACAAAAAGATCAAATCCAGGTTTTTTTTTCAACAACAGTGTGACAGGGAACTTTGTGAACATTAAATACAATACAATCACCTCCTTCTAAAAAAAACAAAAACTCACTAATTACAACTTATTTGTAAGTACCAATCACAATACAGCACTATTACAATCCGATTTTTGAAAAATAAGAAGAAGAACTGTTTATATTTCCCAGCTTTTTCCATTTTTTGAACAGATTGTTTAATGGTCTCAAAATCAGCATGGGTTTGGCATTATACAGCTAATTAAAATAAGGCCTTTATCAAATTATTGTATCTTTCATTCAAAGTATAACAATGTTTCTAAAATCAACAACATTTAGTTTTTGGTCAGATTATGAAATTAATTTGTAAAACAATGAAATACCATACATTTAGCTCTAAAGTAATAATACCTATAAAAGTATACCATGAACAAAATTGTCCCATGGTTACAGTTTATTTTATTTCAAATAAAATATATATCCAAAAAGTATTTCAATCTTGGAAACCAAAATAATGGATTAAACAACAACAAACTTATAAAAATAATAAATTTTCATAAGCTGGTTATAAACCGTTGTTTCCTGTGATAATTTATGTTGATAAACCAATAACGGAACATGGTTAACATTAACACATTTAAAGTGATTATATAGATAGTACTGGGTTTTTAACAGTCTGTAAGGTGATGCTTGTAATTAGGGGCATCAAACACTGTTGTATTTTGTGTGCAAATTACACTGGCATATAAGCATAAAATAGAAAAAGCAATTATTCATCACTACCAGTGGAAGATGACTAAACATTAAGTTTAGAACAATGCATAATGCTGGGTGATATGTACCATCAAAATGGTTGCAATACTGAAGCAACATTATACCACAGTACAACCAATACAAACTGTGGACCATGCACAGTGCTGTCAGCAGATGGTTAAAAAGTAATGAGAGACACTTGAAGGTCAGGGCATCCTCAAACATCAGTGGTCACTATTGCAGAGGCACTGAACACACAAGACCAGTTACCATGGTTACACTGGAGTCCATGGAATGTGTTGCATTTGATGAAAAATGGTTAAGGATTATACCATAACTGTGTTATCAAGGCTACAGTAGATCAATTTTGAATTACTCAAAGATCACCATGTGGTAGTTACACCAGGGCTATTCTTCTTTGTGAAATGAACACCCCAGGCTTGGTAATATGCACAGTGACAGGACACCACCATTATGAGTTGCTGCACACTCATACCACAACTCCATAGGATGATATATTCAAAATGTCACATTCAATCATGATGGTGCCCCCCCCCCTCTTATCTACTGGCTGATAACGTTCACACAGATTTATGTTGAAGAGCAATTCCTCAGCTGCCATCTCCATCATTCTCCTGTCCACTAATGGTTATAGGAATTTCTGAATATACCAGTCTACCACTATTACCCAGCAACAAGTGACAGAGACTCATAAGGAGATGTTACATGCTGCAATATTCAATACCATTACAATAATAAAAAATTACAGTAGTGCCATCTATAGAAACCAAGGGAATGAACTCTCCATGAACCCTCATGCGCATACACAAAGTATTTTAACATATGTTATGTAGCTCACACTAAAGACTGTTCCAAGCACCAATACTGACTTTATAACAAACCTGTATTTTATGAGTACAAATGTGAATAAACTGAATATTTTAATGTACTTGGAGAAAAACATTCATCATTTGTAACAAAGAGGTAAAAATTAATATATATATATATATATTATAAATCGTTTCTGAAAATGCTTTATGTTGTTAGCTGCTCTTTATTATAAGCTTACATTTTATAAAATTTATAAGTATCCAATATATGTTATCATAAATGTTTTTATATGCTCTACACTACTTTTTAAAACTAATTTCACTTTCATCTTTAAATTTTACTGACTATAAGAAGGTTTTTAAGTGATAAAAGAAAATGCTTTTATAATTTCACAAATCAAAATTCTAAAATATCATTTATTTTCAAAATTTCCACTTAAGACTAATTGAAATCACAAACCTGCTGATAATCTGCGAACTGGAGATGTTGAAGTCTGAGCCTAAAACACAAAGAACAAGTCAAAAAAGTAATATTAGCTCATTAGTTTCTACAGTTCAAAACTTACAGAAATCACTTCACCCTATTAGTTAAAAACATAAATATTTTCATAACCATGTCCTTTTTAAGCCTCTTTGAAGAAATACTAAAATGCAAAACCAAATTATGTTTATACATATTCTTTCAAAATATATATTTTTTTAATTTTAATTCTATAATAATCTTCTATGGGTGTACAGATTAAGATTTTCTTGATCAATACCAAAAACCGATGATTACCTAACCATATCAGCTACTACCGATGTTTAGTTTGACTTGTTTTGAATCTTGCATCTTTCACTAATTTAGCAGTGTAAAATTAGAAGGAAGGCAGCTAGTCATCACCATACATAGCAAAAACCGAGAAAGATTTATCCACAACCTAGGACTTCACCTTTTAGAATGACATAACTATTACCAGAAGTATCATGATTTTTTCTAAAAATATTCTTCATCAAGATTAAGTTTCTCTTTGATAAATAAGTTCTTTTAATTGTTTATGTTGTTTGAATACAATGAGCTTAAAAATGAAATTTATTACATTAGGTATTGTTAATAGAATATTTTGCCATCATTTGGCTTTAGAAATGGGTGATTAAATCATTTAGCTGTGAGCAGATATTATGCTGATTAGTGGCATGTAAGATAATTTATTGATAAAAATTATTATTAAATCAATTAATGTCACACAAATAATAAACTAATTGAAATTAGTCTTTCAGATTTCTGCTGTTTTTTATTATACAAACAAACAATTAATTTGGTTAACATCCCAAAAATAACTTAATTAAAATTTGTGTTTCTGCTTATTAAAATTTTCAATTGTTACAACAACCCAGTAACTGACATACTGTCAATTGATGGATGCTACTGCAACAAAGATTCAAGTGAAAGAGACTCCCAAGGAGGAGTTATGTGCCACATTATTCAATACTATTAGGTGATTTTCATGCTAAAAATAAAAATACTTCTATTCACCATACAATTTTCATATTTCATAACCTCTAAAACCTCCTTTATTTCTTTCTCTCATTTTCTCTACCCTAACACTAACTGTAGCAATATTGATCAAATGAAAAATTGAAAATAATAAAATCAATAACTTTTTTCTAGAATTACTGGAGATTGTAACAGAAAATTGCAATTATTTATCAACACAGCTTCAGCTATTCAGCTCGCTAACCTTTTCAAGTCTGCTTATTTTTAACTAT